CTGCTCTAAAGCTGAAGAAAAAGGACCAAATGTCTCACTGCACTTACCTCATTACTGTTTTATCACATTAGTAGTACTGATAGTTCATGAATAATTTTCATCCTATTTTGTTATATTTGCTCATTCAAAAAAGTCATTCTTTCCTAGTGTTTGCTTTTGGATTTCTCCACCCTCTAGACTACTACAGAAGACTATTCATGGCTCTTTCCATTTGCCTTTAAATGCCCCACTTTCAATTTTCCATCTTTTTAGCCATTTCACATTTATTCAGTATCCTCCCATGTGCCCTTGTTTCTCCTTTGAAAAGTCTGTCCTGTGTTTTCTACTGCCTGCTCCTGTTGCTGATATTACATAATATCAGCATATTACATGCTGATATTACATGCTGAAAACACAGAGCAGTGTTTTCAGTTCTGTATGCATTTGGGCTGACCCACCGTCTCAAGCAATTTTGCTCTTACTCCAGTTGAAATAGCAGATTTAGGTATCAGGCAGCCTGTCCTCAAATTTCCACACTGCCTTGTATAGAGAAACATTGAGGTGCTCTTCTTCATTCTCTTGGTTTGAAATACAGGTCATTTCTGCAGGCAGGGAATGTTCAGAGAGCAAAGCTCTAGTGCAGTATAGTCACTCCTGTATTGAGAACCGCATGGTACAAGGGCTAAGTTAAGAGTGCAGCTTGCTACTAGAAAATAGGCACAGCCAGTATCAGGAGCTCAGCTCTTACAGTGGTCTCTTCCATTAAGGAGACTTGCTTTCTGCAAGCTCGTACTTTACTTGCGCAGCACTTCTGCAAGAAGGTCTGTTGAAGTCGAAGGTTGAGCTTTCCTCCTTTGCCAAAATCTGCTTGACTCAGAAGGGAAAAAGCTGGCTACCTCCTTGCTTTCAAACCACGGTCATTCTGGCAAAAGATCATTTACCCTACGGGTTGTTCTTATTTACCAGAGTTGATTACGACTCCTCGGGGGTCAACATAAAGTAGGCAGAATTGAACTCGATTCTTCCATTTACTTCAGCTGAGGAGGTCTCACTATTCAGACAGCTTCTGAAGGGATCTTCTGCAGTTAGATGGTGAATACTGAGCAAGAATAACAGTTCTTAGAAACACGCGTTTGTTATTTTGAGGATGAGATTATAAATATGTTAAGACAAATGCTGCTCAAGTATTAATGTTATGGAAAAAAACAGGAGGCTGCCTGCAAAAATAAACAAAAAAAAAATTCCTCCTATCATGTTATTCTAAATCACAAAGGGCCATTTGTTGTGGATTTGCAGGTTATTCAGAAATAACCGTTTTATTACGTTGACAAAAGAAGAAACCTCAAGGGCTTGCTCTTTACAGTGGTGTGATAGGAACCTAAAGTGTGCCTGTTGAAAAATGAACTAGCTAACAATGGGAGCTTGGCAACAACTTCACCCTTTATAGAGAAACCGTCTATCTAGTACGATCTGTATAAAATAGACCTCGCTTAGGTTAGGGAAAGGTCACAAGTTACACAAAGTTTGGATAGTCTAAATGCGTTACTCAAAACTAACTCTCCTGTGTATAGTAAATATTATTTGAACCTGTGTTATTAAGAACATGCCAGGATTCAAAAGATTAAATAAGGAAGATGTAATTATGAGCTAAATAATAAACAGAGCAGTTTTAGTTCCCCTTGTGTTTTTCACTTTCCTGCTATTGTTTCATATATGGCTGTTATACAAAGAGCAGATTAGGTCAGCTACTATAAATTATGGGTTTCGTACAATAGTAATCTACCAAAATTATTTTAGAGCTGGATCAAAGAACTTCAAAAGACTTTTTGAAAACTTTTCCACATAATAAAAAGACTTCATTTTGATGCCCTATTTTTATGTGGATTTCTTGATTCAGAGTTGCATCTTACAGTGTTCAGTGACTTGTGCTGATATTATGTTATTGGAACACATGAGATTTACATAATTTATTTACAGCCTCAGATAAGCATGAAATGGTAATATCAAAAAACTTCTTTTTAAATAGGTTACCTGGTGCATTTTTCAGGCTAGGTTTTTCAGCTGATCTCAGTGAAAACCTTTTGTTTGTTTTTAAGAAAACCATCAAGATTTCAAGTGAAATTTTGTCTTGACTTTCTTCTATTTACAAACACACAAGTCATATAGACAATGTTAACAATCATTTACAATGATAACAATAATTTTGCTTAGTAGCTTTTAACTGACATCGTGTCCCTCTGTAAGACGTTAGTCTCTGCTCCTGCTCCTGGACAGGCTTTCACCTAATCTGAACAATCGTGTGTCATCTGCACTGATCCATAGATGTGGCACTGTGATGTCAAAACAAAATGAAATGTCAATGCAAGTGTATGGAGACAAAGTAACAGTATTGAAACCGTGTCAGTGCACATCTAC